TTTTATTTCTTTGCTTAAAATAAAACTATAAATTTTAAAAACTCTAAATGAGAATAAATATGTTATCGCAGAGTAAAAAAGAATAAAATTTAAATAATACGTACTTTCAAAGTATTATCTTGATGTGATGTCAACTTCACTCTAGCTAGTGTATTATATATATATATATATATATATAGTATATACTTATATATATATACTAATATATATATATATATATATATATATGTTGTCATGAAAATTATCTATGTTGTAATATGCATGTAAAATTTAACCTATATGAAATTAATATTTAGGTAATAAAAATTTTGAAATTATTAGGCAAACACACACGCACGCACACACACACACACAAACGTTTGACTTTTGCTCGTGCCCCTTTCTTTTCTCATATATCTCCATATCTTGTTCTCTTGCACTGGCTACCTATAAAATATAGAATAATTTTTAAAATTTGCACGTTCGTGTATAAGTCTCAATCTAAATTATTTCCTAAGTACTTATCAGATATATTAATTGAACCTAAACGCCCCGGTTTACGATCGTCTTCTTCTTCTCGCTTTTTCTTAACTCGTGTTAAACACTCTTTTGCCAAATCTGCTTTTGCTTTTTAACAAACACTTTACTACACATAATTTTATTGTCTTTTTTCGTACAACAAAAGTTTCAATTAGATTTATCGTAATCAATAAGCGAGTGAATTTTATAATAAAATCATATTTAACACACGTATTTAATCAATAATCCATTGAAAAAACTAGTTTTAGTGTTTATTAAATAATAGTAATAATAAATATTAATAAAATAATCAAATGATCATTCAAAATGAACCACTACCGAGCAATATAACTTCAAAGTAAGAAATTATGTACTGTTATATACGCAGATAACAAACTGTTCACAATGTCTCTAAAACATTAGAACAAATAAAGCACACAATTGCTGATTCTTATCATGATGGATGAATGTGCGGGGTAGGCAGATGTGAGGGCATCTGGAGAGCAAGATGTTCAATGAATTGTACTGTTACACATCTGAGCTTTTCTTACAGTATGAACCCATGTTGATGTGGTGCAAGATGTTAATCCAGTACAGACTTATTAGTCATAAGGGCATTTTTCAG